TCTTCCAGTCAAAGTCTGTGGGTCTGTTGGATGCCGATGTGTTTGGTCCATCGATTCCCAAACTTATGAACCTGAAAGGAAACCCAGAGCTCAGTGACAGTATGGCTAGTTCAATTCAGCTGAAGGTTTCTAAAATTTCAGTAAACATTTTATAACAGAAAAGTGTTTTTTTTTTCTTCTTTTTTTACATATCTTTCAGATAATCGGATGATCCCCCTGACCAACTATGGGGTTCCTTGGTGAGACTGTCATCAACATTACATCACAACCTTTTTGTTATACCCATAAATGGCCCTAAATCATGTCTATTGTGTGACCTATTCTTCTGATTCACTTTCTTCTCTGCCAGCATGTCTATGGGTTTTCTGGTTGATGATGTGGCTCCGATAGTGTGGCGGGGGCTCATGGTGATGTCTGGTATAGAGAAACTGCTCAGACAGGTGAGACCAGTTTAGATTGCACTGTCAGTTTATTGAATTTAAAGGAAGCTGGTGAAACATGAGAACATGTTTTGTGATTGTAGGTGGACTGGGGGTCGTTGGACTATTTGGTAGTGGACATGCCTCCTGGGACTGGAGACGTCCAGCTGTCGATCACCCAGAACATCCCCATAGCAGGTGGGTTTGTCACACATCACCTAATATAAACACACATAACTTCACTTTTTAAAAGTATCCTCATTGCTGTAGCCCCCAGAAGTAAATAACACATGTTTAGTTCAAAGTTCAGTCGGGTCATGTGATGTTTGTCTCATACAGGTGCGGTTATTGTGTCCACGCCGCAGGACATCGCTCTGCTGGATGCTCGCAGAGGAGCCGAGATGTTTAAGAAAGTGAACGTGCCGGTAATGTGTTGATGTGTGTGTCAGTGGATGCATAAACTATTGGATTCAGGTTGGGTGGATGAATACAACAGGAAGTGATATTTTCTTTCCTGCAGGTTCTGGGTCTGGTTCAGAACATGAGCGTCTTCCAGTGCCCCAAATGCAATCATGAGACCCACATCTTCGGCTCTGATGGGGCCCGACAGCTTGCAGACACTTTGGGAGTCACATTTTTAGGTTGGACACTTTCATTTCATTTGTTTT